TTTATATTATATATAAATATAAATATTTAAAAATATTTTTTAATTAATTATCGGAAAAAATATATTTGAAAAGATCTATTTATTTGAAAATACCCCTAATATTATAAATCACACAATTTTCCATTCTCTCTGACAATTTACCACATGGTCATTATAGATTCATATTTTCCAGAATAATTATACTTTTTTGCCACTACAATAATGCTACATTGTCTTATTGTCTCATCAAAATCCCATATATCGCTAGTTATTATTTTCCCTACGAAAGGGCATTATTACTCCTATTTTTATTTTTTTATGTGGTATATATTTGGAATTTTGGTGCTATCAGAAAAAAATAAAATAATAATCATAACACATATCTTGATTTAACTCGTTAAGTTCATTATTTAATAATAATGAGCTATGAGCTAAGTAAGCGCTAAAAAGAGTTAAAAGACTATTGTACGAAGCAATAAAGCTTCGATGATTCACATGACCCTAGAGACGTTAACGTGTTGTAGGTTTCGAATTTGAAAATAAAAAAATTTACACTATAAAGATATCGATATATTGCTTTTTAAATTGTGTCAAAATTATTATTTATGAATAATAAAAATATAAGGATTGACGTCCCAATTATATATCTATATATATCGCCTAAGACATAATTGTTATTCTTTATTTGGTCTAAAAAAGACAAGAATTTGGTGAACATTCACATACATGCACAAGAAAGCAAGAGGCAATATTTTCAACAACTTAGAATTGTAATTATTTTTTATGTAAGACGTATTCCAAGGGCAAATAATGATTATGGATTGTGTAAAATTTGGTCGATATAGGAAAATGTCATTTCACAAATCTTGTCAACATAACTTTATCCTTATAATGAGTTTTATGAAATTTTAGGATCTATTTGGATATTTATAATATGGAAAATCTTGTCAACATAACTTTATCCTTATAATGAGTTTTATGAAATTTTAGGATCTATTTGGATATTTATAATATGGAATTAGATTAACATAAAGTTTAAAGTTGTTTATTTAAATTTACCGTTTAAATTTTATAAGTTGTGTCTTTTTAGATTATAATATAGAATTGAATAGATGAGCTTAGGATCGATCGATCATGATTTTCCCTTCTCTTTTATTTAATAACTTGTTTTAATTAAATTATTTTATAATTCTTTTTAATATGTCATGCTAATTTCTAAATATAATACTATAAATTATATTAATTAATATATAAAATAAAAAAATTCAAAAATATATTAAAAAATTGATAAGTTTCAAAATATAGAGAGAATCACATATATTATTTAACAATTATATTACCAGTACTATAAATCATAATAATTAACAATTTAAAAAATATTTAAACAACATTAAGTTTTAGTAAATTCTTAAAATTTCACATGCACCGCATAAACTGCGAGCGAGATATTATTATCTGAAAATTATATTAATTACGAACATTATAAATAATATAAAATTTTAATTGGAAAAATTATAAAAAATTTCTATAAAATCTTAACAAAGAACCAAATTATTATTTATAAACAAAATATCAAAATATATTAAAACTTGACATTAATAATATCGTATGTCTGTATGTTTCTGTTTATACTACGGTGACAAACTTTCAAATGCGTAAAGTGTAACGAAGAGTCAATAATCTTTAATATAATCTTTATGACAATATATGACCCAATCTTCTCATGTTACATTATAAATAGTTATCGTATAATTTATTTTTATCAATTAAAATAAATAAATAATAAATTTATCCACTATTCCGGTAAAAAATTATTTCTCCTTTTAAATTTTGTATCAATCAACTTAATATAATGAAATGAGAAAATATATATGACATCTTTTATGGGGGAAATACAAATACCACCGCCAAAACCAAAAAGAAAAAGATATTTCAAGTCCCAAGAAATATTCCACTTCTCGGATTTTTTTCGAAAAAAATTTATTCACATTGAATATTTATATCAAATTAATATTCATTGTCGTGTGATTTAGTGAAGAAAAAAAAAAAAAATTTCAACACATGACATGCATATATTGATTTGGTGTAAATACTCAAATAAATTTTCTTTTCCTATGAAATATTCTGCTAAGATAATATGTTTCAAATAAAATGTTTCTTTGATTATGGAATAAGAGAATAAATTACTTATATCAGAAGATAGACTAATAAATAATAATATAGAGATAAATTATTGAATAGT